TGGGGTGTGAAATGGACTAACACTAATTCAGAAACCTCCCGAATTTCCCTTCTCACCCTGACAGGCTGCAGAATAATGACCCCGTTTTGCTCCAGATCGTCCCATCTTCCTAGGGGCCGGGGCAGGGAAATGGCTGTGGTGGATCCAGCTCAGGTAGGGGATTTTGGGGGAGCTGCTGGGGAGGGTTGTTGTAGAGGGGGAGGGTCAGGAAACACTTACGGTGAGGTGTGGGGGGGGGGCAGGGACTGATAAACCTGCTGGGACATGCTCCGCCTAGGGCCTGGTTTATGAACAGACCCATTGGGAGCGTGTGAACATTCCCCCATTTCTGAAACTGGAAACAACCCTCTGGACAGGGCTGGGAAAACAGAGCAGAGCACTGGAGCCTGAACCCCCTAGGCAGAAACTTCGGTGAAATACAAAGAGAAGGTGCTGGGATTCCTGTCCCCTGCCCAGAGCTCTGCCTCCCACATCAGCCTGTGGCTAGTAGGTGGGTGGGAAATGAGAAGACCCCACACTCCTCCGTCTGCTGGGAGGACAAGGAGCTCTCCCCTTCTCTCTGTTCCCTGCAGCCTCCTGGCCATTCTGGCAGGCTGGGGTGGGATTCCGCTCCTCTGGCCCTCCCACAGCCATCCTATTGTTGTGCTTCTTCCCCCATGAATAGTGGGGCTGTGGCTGGGGCAGCAGGCACTGAGAGGGGGGCACCTGTTGTTTCAGGGGCCGGTGAGCTTCGAGGAGGTGGCTGTGTATTTCACCGCGGGGCAGGGGGCTCTGCTGGACCCCGCTCAGAGAGCCCTCTACAGGGACATCCTGCAGGAGAATTAGGAGACTGTGACCTCGCTGGGTAAGGGTTCCTGTCCCCTCAGCTATGTGAAGCCATGGGGCCTGTATTTCTGCCTCTGGTCAGTTACATGAGAGGGGAATGGGTCGCATAGTCCACAGCGCCAGTGTGAGAGAGGCGTTCACGTCCAACCCCCCTCCAATGCGATAGGGGAGTCATGGACCTAATGGACATGCTAATTCATCCCCATCCCTCCAGCTTTCCCGGGGGCAGAAGCAGTGTCTTATTCTCTGCATTAATTCTCACTCACACACAGGATCTCAGTGCACCTCCCTTCCTGGGACTGGCTCCATGTGTGGGGAGGGCTCTGGGGTTTCAGACACAGGCAGGGATTTAACACCAGAGCTGTGTGTGCCTCGGCAAGTCCCCCAGAGCCCACAGACCCTGAAAATTCCTAGTGAGGCTGTGACAGCTTCTGCCCCTCCCCCGACATCAACGTCTCCCATGGGGTCTCAGTGACCATGTTTCCATCTGTTCACATCCCACAACCCACCAGCAAATCATGGGGTCAGTTTTAACTCAAGATGTGCCGTTTGCGACAAATACACACCAATCCTCAGTGCACTCTGCTCATACCTGATTTCGCCCCCTGAGCAAGACTCCCCATTCCCAAACCTGCCCTGATCGCCCGGCTGGAAGCAGGAGAAGAGCGGTGGGTCCCGGATCTCCAGGCCTCCGAGGAAAGCAACATCCCAAGAGGCACCTGCACAGGTGAGAGTCAGTGACACTGACACAGAAACTATCTGGCAAATGAAGGAAAAATCTGAAAATCCCCAAAATGTGGTGTGAGCCCCCCTCAGTTCTGCCTCATCTCACCCAGGTCAGGTGCTGGTCAGAAGGTGTCGTATCATCATGGCAGATATCGCTCATGGCTTCCCACCCACCCTGTTCACTGTCAGGAGTTTTCTCCCTGACTTCACTTCCCTGGGAGTGTTTGGATGGCATGTGGAGACAGAATCCAATTGCTCAGTCTCCCAACAGTCATTGTGTTGTGTTTTCCCTCTTTGCTACTCCCCTTTGTGTCCTTTCTGCCAGCCCGTGCACTGACTCCTGCCTGGACTCTCTCTCTCCCCCAGCAGGTGACATGAGAATGAGGACAGGAATCCACAGCAGACAGGTCCTGACCAAGTGGAACTGCAGGGGACCTTGAAGAGCTGGACACTATTTTTTCCCAGGGCTTGGAACAGAGAAAAGCCTGGCGTAATCGGCACAGGTCAGAGAGGAAGCTGGGAAACAGCCCCTGGAAGAAAGTGGATGAATCCATTGAATGTGGGAGAGGAGACAATGGTCCCAAGGAAACCACAGCCCAGCAGACAAATCACAAAGAAAAGAAACCCGAGAAATGCTTGTACTGTGGGAAAAGCTTCAGTCGGCAGTCTGGCTTTATAAAGCATGGGAGAATCCGCACAGGAGAGAGGCCATATCAGTTCTTTTATTGTGGGAAAAGTTTCAGTGCACCATCAGCCCGTTACATTAGAAAACACACATGGAGTAGAAACCCTTTAAATGCTTGGACTGTGGGAACAGTTTCAGTCAATGCTCAAGCCTTATTAAGCATGGAAGAACCCACACAGGGAAGTGCCCCTCAGATGTCCTTAGCATGGAAAACGCGTCAATTGGAGTTAACACCACATTGGCCATCAGAGATTCCTCCCCACTGGAGGGAAATTCTCTCCGTGCCCTGACTGGGGCTGGCCACAGTAAAAACTCCATTTCCTAATTCCCACCCGCAGCAGGGGCATTTAGCTCCCAAGTATCCAGCTGCCCATGTCTGGGAGCAGATTCCAGCAGCAACTGGCCCGGAGCTGATCAGTGACCCGCTGGTTTTGCCTGGTCTCAGCAAAGCCCAGGCAGAGAAGTCCTGGTCAGCCCCTGCTCCCTGCCGCAGCCCGGGCTGCTGAACTGCTGGGCCTCCCTGCCAGCCTGCTGGGGGAAGGGAGAGAGAAACTGTTTTTGACACTCCACCCCAGATTCGTCATCATTAGGATGCATTTTGTACAAGATGGTCGTGTAAGGTGTCATTGGAAAAGTTACGACTTGCGGAATAGGAGTATCCTGTTTGTATTCAGGTATCAATTCGGTAGCTGAAGTTATGAGTCTTGACTATGTATCTTTATTTCAAATGTAGTTATACCTGGGTGACACCCACTAGGAAAGGGAGCAAGGAGGGTCCTGGGGGGGCAGTTAGGGTGGGGTCTCTGGAGGGGGTGATCGGGGACAAGGAGCTGA